AATTTCTGCAAGAAAACAGAGAATACCAAAAACTAACTGACTGACTGACTGACTGACTATCTAGTATATGAGGGTTGGGCAACATAGAAGATTCATAAATTATTGTTAGTATTAAATGTTCCCTAAACATATTCTGATATTTCTAACCCTCTGCTGAATATCCATCAAACAAAATAACCAAATGGCACCATCTCCACATGTACTTCAAATTTTTGAACTATTCTTCATTGAACAATAATCGTGCCTTGTTCATATAATGAAAGATGGTGTACAAAATGCCACCTTGACAGACATGTTTATGAAATGAATGATAATGAAACAGTATAAAGATCTCAGTCTCAAGGAAAAGGGCACCTATTCAGCATTTTAGGATAACCCAGCTGCATTTTAGTATTTATTTATTTATTAAATTTATATGCCACCCATCTCTCTCTATCTGGAATGACTTAATCACAGGAACAGTCAGTCTAGACAAGAATGTACTTTACATGCTTTCCTAATGCCATTAGTTTGATAACCTAGTTGGCTATTTTTTAAAAACAAAAATGAACCTCCCTATTAGTCCCATAGGGAGCCCTCAGATTCATTGTAAAATTAAAACCAATCTGAGCAACTACAAATCTTCAAACATCAGATTATCTGATGTTTAATTATAAAACCCCAGCTGGTCAAGTTTCATTTATTTTTATAGATCTTGAGGCATGCCAAAAATTCACCAAGATAATAAATAACCTGTATGTGAGATTCTTCTGTATTTGGTTCATTGCAATTGGGACAATCAGAAAAATGCAGGAGTATTCTTGCACATATATTTGTATATCACATATTCTTAGAAATGTGATGGGGCAGGCACAGGGTAATCACTGACATTGCATTTCAAACAAGCCACTTTTTGTTAACTAAGTAAACTGGCAGGAAATGAGCATGGGCTGAAGTTGGTCTAATATGGGCATCAGTGTCACATCTAATTGTCCTTAAAAAAAAAAAAACTAAATAGGGTTGGATTCAGATGACATTCAAAACTGTGAATCAAAAAGCATCCTAGAAGAAGAAGGCAATGGTAAATTATTTTCATATTGTGGCCAAGAAAACAGTGGAAGAATCAGTCTATTAAACAAGCTCAAAATAAGTGCAAGGGAGACAGCTAGTTTGGCGTAATGGGTAAGGCACCAGGCTAGGAACTGGGAGACTGTGAACTCTAGTTCTGCCTTAGGCACAACACCACTTGGGGTAATTTGGTCAGTCACTACCTCTAGAAGAAGACCCTTCTGAAAATCTTGCAAGAAAATGGTGGGCAGAGGTCCAGGCAGTCATCAGGAATCAACACTGACCTGAAGGCACACATACATACATAGAGTGCAAGGGGGTTATTACATCTTACAAATCTTATCACCCCACCAAATGAATTACTCTATTTTAGACTAACTATAGCAAATAAATTGGATTAGAGAACAAATGAAAGTATATGATATCATCAAGAGAGTAAAAGAATTGAAATGGAATTGGGCTGGTCACATAGCAAGAAGAACTGATGGCAGGTGGACCAAGGCAGTCATACAGTGGATCTCGCTTGATAAAAAGGGTCCACAAAAGAGATCTAAAACAAGATGGATCTACGACATCAGCAAGTATTGCAGGCCCAATTGGCAAAGGAAAGCTCAGGACCGTATTGGTTGCAAACATGTGGAAGAGGCCTTCATCCTGCAGTGGACCGACAATGGCTAAAATGATGATGATATGATGATGATAGCAAAGAAATATTGTAGCATTTTTATAGCTTTCCAGTACTACCATGTTCCAAACTTCCAGAAGACTAAATAAAATAATTTTATATGTAAAGAAATTAGTAAATGTGTTAGAATAGTCAGTTGTAATACAGACAATATGGTATTTGTCTTATTCATGAGGCATACCCCATTGCAGACCTTCAGATTGTGCAATTGAAGCCCTGTCCCTTCTTTACAGCACAAGTGACATATATTTAAAAAGTGACAGGGCTTTAATAGTGGATGCCACTAACAAGAATGCCCCCATCGCTGTATTTTTTTTCCTGCTTTTCTTGAATTATGCCAGGAAATTTCCTTAAAGCAGATCTTCCCTAGGAGTATGACACTTGCCTTAGCTGTTCATCATCTTTCTTCTTGTTCAGGAAAAGTAAAACAGGATTTTGGAAAAAAAATGTATCAACTACACTTTAAATGAGGGACATTTGATATGGCAAATATTATAACCATTTCCCATGTAAGAAAGACATTCTATAGCAGAATCTGAATTTTTATTCAAGGAAAACAAAAACAATGCAAAGAATTTTTATTTTATGTGTGTGTATGCCCAGAGGCAGACAGAAGGTGACTGGTAAAGATATTGAGGGAGGAAGCAGCAGAAGAAATGTCCTGTGGGAGAACATAATAGCTTGCAGTCTGGATGGAATAACTGCCTAATTGTTGCCAAAGTGTGTCAGTCTAAACAGAACTTTCTTAAACTGATTTATATGCTATTTTAAAGTCAAGCTAGCAAGTGTTCAAGGACTAGTTTAAGGATATGCCCTTATTCAAATGGACAATATGAAATGTGTCATTATTTCAAAAATAACTCCTTGTCTACTTCAGTTATTTTTAACAGGAATTCTCCTTCCTCATCTTAGGAAATTTTGACTCTCTTCCTTCATATTTAAAATCTTTGAGAGCAAGTTATATGCAGAATTAGCCTCCATAAGAGCAAAGCTCCTTGTGGAATGGCCTCTGTGTTCCAGATCTCTTTTCCAAATTGATTTCACATCACTTCTTCTCTAATGACAAGTACAAATTTTATGCATGCTGTATTCTCGCAGCCTCATTTGTCCAACAGCAATATACTATAGAAATCACAGTTACCTTGGCCTGTTGTACAGAACTGTGAAAGAAATTTTGAAATTATTCATATAAAATATTTACATAATGGAAAATGTTAAATCAATTTCCTTGGATATGTAGCATGCAGGAGTCTGCATTAGGCTGAATATCATATATGTTGAAGGGCTTTACATCAAAATAAGTTCTGTTTCTCACATCAGGCACAGATAAACTCTTTTCCTCCTTCCTTCAGTCCTTGACTCACAATGCTCTAAAGCCTGCATAGTTCTATATGCATGTTGAATTCCAAAAAGAGTCTCCAAAATTGAAAAGCAGCAGTCTGGAGCCTTCAGCCAAACTATAAATTTACATAGTTTGCAGGAAGCCAAACCACAGTCACTGCTGATTTAAAGGAACTCTTGTACTTAGTGATCATCGGCATGAAGCAGAATGCATGGAAAACACACATTAAGGTTTATAAACAGAAAGTAAATAAGCAGTGCCTACTGTCAGTCACCAATGTTTCATTTATAGACTGCACCGCTTGATTTTTTCCCCCTCCCTTAGAAAGCACTAAAGCCCTTTGATGCATTCACTTTTATATTACAAAGGATAAAAATATCCCTGCAAAACTGTAATTCAGGATCATTGTTTTCATTTCATAGAGCTTTGTAGCTAACATGTATTATTATAGACCAAGGTCAAATGATGCCTCCACACTTATGTAGCTTCGACAAAACATGTGACAAGATACGCAGTAGGTAGAATGGCTTTGTTAGTGTGGTCTGTTATTAGGGATGTGCAAATATGAAACCCTGGGAATTTTCCTTGCCTTAGCTGAATGCTTTGGTCTGCCTGTGAAATCCTCCAAATGTTAATGCTCTGGAGAATCTTCACATTTTCTTTGAACTTTGTGTTAAATGAAATCTTATCAAGGCCAAGAACATGCAGGGTCCATCTATGGCATTTTGCTGGGCTTCCTGAAAGCCTTTTGATTTTTTTCTCGAAATGCATCAGATAATCACATAAAGAAATATCATCAAAAATTCATTTCCTATATACGTGGTGGGAAACCTATGGCACACATGCCACAGGTGGCATGCAGAGCCCTCTCTTGGGCATGCACGCCGTCGCCCCAGTCCTAGGCTTTCAGTCCCATCCATTAGCAACCTGCATCAATACCTATGCAGGGTAAGGTTGCCATGCCCGCCCCCACCTCCCCAAGCATTTTTTTTTTACTAACCTGCCTTTCAGCTGCATTCCATTTCTCCGTTTGCTTCTCAGCCTTTGCTGTGTGTTTGTGGGACTATCGGTAAAAAAAAAAAAAAGTTCCATCAGACTTTCTAACTTCTCACGAGATCTCAAGAAGTTAGAAAGTCTGATGGAACTTTTTTTTTTTACCATTGGGTGCGATGCGCGAGGCGGCAAATGGCTGTGGCTGGAGGCAAACAGCCATGTTCCACCAAAACCAGCTGTTTGCCGCCTCCTGCCCAATGCTGCTGCCATGAGGCTGCGGAACAAGCCAGGCAATGGTAAGAAACTGGTATACTGGTTCCTTACCTCCACCCGGCTTGTTCTGCGGCTTCATGGCAGCCACACTGGGTGCGATGCGCAAAGTGGCAAACAGCCACGTTGCGCCAAAACCAAGAGGCTGGCAGGCTGTGGCTGCTGATGGACACAGTTGGCCCCCATGTGCTCGCTGTGTGGGGGGGCCAATGGTGTCAGGCAGCAGCCGCCCCGGCCCCTGCCTCGCCTGGCCTTGCCCTGCGGCAATGGCACCCCTGCCCTGCCTCCTCTCACCTTACCCCACAGGATGAGCTTCCTGCCCACTGTCCCACCTGCCAGAGATCCCCTGCATCTCCCCCAACTCTGCCTGGTCCCCACAGGCATCCCTCCCCATGAGCAACATCAAAGTGGCCATGCTCACCCCGGCCACGCCCACCCAGTCTGCTACCACATCCACACCCATCCAATAGGCCATGCCCACCCAATGGGCTACACCCACCCAATGGGCCATGCTCACCCAATGGTTCACACCCGTCCCTCACCTGATGATACATAAGTGAGGTTTGGGTTGCAATTTGGGCACTTGGTCTCTAAAAGGTTCGCCATTACTGCCCTATATGTACCACTTTTGGCATGATGCCGGAGTAAAAACAAGGAGATGTCTTTTTTTGATCTGAAGAGGAGAACATTTTATTTTTGGATGTTTAGAAATTCTCCATACTTGAATGAAATGGCAGTACATTAGTTTCTCTGATTTCCAAAATGCAACTGGGGGTGAAGAATCCTCCATTGTTGTTTGTATTTCCAAATTTGTGCAGAATACAGTACAATTAATGCCTGAAATAATCTTTATTTCCTTTTGTCTTAAATTCAAACTAAACATTGCTTTATGCATGTAATGAATTTCTTTCTTTCTTTCTTTCTTTCTTTCTTTCTTTCTTTCTTTCTTTCTTTCTTTCTTTCTTTCTTTCTTTCTTTCTTTCTTTCTTTCTTTCTTTCTTTCTTTGAGCATCTGAAGTCTTGCCATGCATACACTATAGAAGTTTAGATCTTTCTCAGTGAGATGGTTCAAGGGTTCCACCCCATTTTGTACCTGCAATATAAGAACAATTTCTTTTCATGGTACATAGGCATATATTTATGTATCTGTCAACATGTGGACTTATGGATTTAAATGATATTAAGTACAAGGCTAGATTGATTAAATGTTGTTGACTGAACTCACCCAAGTCCATGTATTCTGTACACTTATATAGTCATATGTGTTCTAAACACATCTATATAGTCACAAAGAGAGGCGCAGTGACTCAGTGGCTTAATGACGCTGGACAGTTTGAGTCCTAGCATCATGTGATAGAGTGGGATCCCATCACTCACCTCAGCTTCTGCCCACCTAACAGTTTGAAAGCATATTAATGCAAGTAGATAAATAGGTACCACTTCGGTGAGGGGGAAAAAAACAATGCTTCAAGCAGTAGTAAGAAATCAACTGGTGCTGTACCTACCTGAATGCAACACCTGAATGAGAAGTGACATTGATGTGGGAAAAGCTCCAGATGATGCTGCAGAATGCCTTAAACCTTCTAATTGTGGAGCTAGTTACCCTCTATGGTGAACTCTGGATAGCAAGTGAGCATGAACTGAACAGGCTAGCAACTGTTGGCAGCCAAACAACTACTTTGTGTTATCACTGTAGTCTCCTGGCTAATGTAACATCACCATACACTTAATAAATACATAGTTACAGTGACGCACACTTATCCTTACCAGTATTTTAATATTTCCTTTAATGTTACAATAAAAAATGAAGCTAGATTTGCCAGAGGATTCTAATTATTTCTCACGCAAGAGGAAGATCACCCTGCCCGTGAAACAAATATGTATACCATGAGCAGTCTTCTTTAAGGTTCCTCAGACATCATCCCTAAAATCACTCTCCTTAAGGTAAACAATTGTAATAGAATCCTCTGTGTGCTCAGAAGTCAGTCTGACTTATTCAGCTCAGACGAGCCACAAATAAGGATGACTGGGCCTGTCCATTTGGTTTCACTCAGTTGCTCACTTTCTCTGAGTCAAGGCTTATTTGATCTGGTCCCACACCAAGACTCTGGCGTGCAAACAGACAAGCAGAATGACAGCTCATTCTCATTTCTCTGGGCAGTTTTCTTAAAGTATACATTTCCATAGATACCAACTCTAGAGTCTTCACTCCTTTTTGCAAGTGGTTGTTCTTAATAAAATACATTTGGTACGTACTTTTCCCAGATAGCAGAGCTGTCCATGGGGTTAAAAAAAAAAAACCAAGATGGTGATCATGACTGTGAGATTGAACCTATTATGGGTGCAATGCACATAGTAATGGTCAGAAGGCTGGTTGCACCATCGTAGCTGCAATCTGGACCAGATATGCCTAGTTTCCTGATGACTTTCCTAACGCATATGTTTGTCATCTACTGGAAGCTACCTGAGAACATGCTGAAAAAGATTTTGGTGTACAGGTTTGTTGGAATATGCATGGCATTTCAGGAGGTGCAAAGGAGGTGATGACAGTACATTCATCTAAATATTTGAATAGAACAATTTTTTTACCAGTTCTTAAAGAGAAGAATATTTTTTCAGTTCCAGTAAATTTAGGATTATTCTTTACAGATGCCTCTTCCATTACATTTAACGGGCTCCAGTGTATTCTTCTGAATTAGACAATATTAGAGACTTCATTAGAAATCCATTTGCATGTGACATTTAACATGATTTCCATAACTTTGCTTAGCTTTGTTTGGATTGTTGTGCCAATTGAAGATATAGATAAGGATGCATAAATGTTTGCAATGTTTAAAGAGATCTTTCATATTACATTTGTAAGACACATATTTTGGTTATATGGCTAGAAATTTACCCATGTTACATTACCTTCAAGTTATATCTTCCCCACTTCTGGGTTAATAGGTATAAGTACTAAATACTGAAATAAATATTGATCCCTCTTGAATCATTAGTTTAATGAAGAGAAGGACGTAGTTTAATGAAGAGAAGGACGTAGTTTAATGAAGAGAAGGATGAGGTGGGACATGATAGCTGTGTTCCAATATCTCAGGGGCTGCCACAAAGAGGGAGTCAAGCTATTTTCCAAAGCACCTGAAGGCTGGACAAGAAGCAACGGGTGGAAACTAATCAAGGAGAGAAGCAACCTAGAACTAAGGAGAAACTTCCTGACTGAACAATTAACCAGTGGAACAACCTGCCTCCAGAAACGGTGAATGCTCCAACACTGGAAGTTTTTAAGAAGGGACTGGACAGCCATTTGTCTGAAATGGTATAGGGTTTCCTGCCTGAGCAGGGGGTTGGACTAGATGACCCCCAAGGTCCCTTCCAACTTTATTATTATTATTATTATTATTATTATTATTATTATTATTATTATTAATAATAATATCACAGTGTCAAAGATCAATGCTGATTGCAGATTGTCCTTATCTAACCTATTTAGCAACCAACTGAAGTTACAACAGTGCTGAAAAAGTAACTTAAAGATCAGTACTTGCACATACAACCATCACAGTGTCCTTGCGGTGAGTCTCTGACTGATATTTAAGGGCTTTGAGTGCAGGCATTTATAGTCATTGCAATTTGATCACCATTTCCATGATTCAAAGCTGACCTCTGACAAGCAGAGTCAATGGAGAAGCCATCAGCAAAATCCGAAGTCATTGTTAAACTGTGTCTTGTTTAACAATCACAGGTGATTGCTTAACAATCGCAGGGGAAATGAAGTTGTGAGCCTATGATGGTCATGTGATCTCTCATATGACAACCTTGTCATTTAATGATGGAATTGCTGGTCCCAACAGTGTTTATTAAGTGAGGATTTCTTGCAGTTTCAACTATGTTGGATATTTATGTTAAAAAGTCTCAGTTTAACCCAAAAGACAGAGGTGGTGGGTGTAGAACAAATTTCTATTCAGAAATCTCCCACAGAGAGGTCATGCATAACATGAAATAGTGCTCTTGCCCTAATTAAGTTTATCTATTTTTATTCATTTATTCAGAAAATTTATATTACCATAAAAATAAAATTTATATAACTAAGGAGAAACTTCCTGACAGTTAGAACAATTAACCAGTGGAACAACCTGCCTCCAGAAGCGGTGAATGCTCCAACACTGGAAGTTTTTAAGAAGAGACTGGACAGCCATTTGTCCGAAATGGTATAGGGTTTCCTGCCTGAGCAGGGGGTTGGACTAGATGACCTCCAAGGTCCCTTCCAACTTTACTACTACTGTTGTTGTTGTTGTTGTTGTTGTTGTTGTTGTTGTTGTTATTATTATTATTATTATTATTATTATTATTATTATTATTATTATTATTATTATTATTATTATCCCATTCAGTGGCAGGATTCAAATATGTGAACAACTGGTTGTCTGTGTGGATGCCACTTCCGGAAGTCCATTCTGGGTTTGGGCAACAAAAATTAGCTACCGGTTCTGCTGAAGTGGTGTGAACTGGCTGAATCCTACCACTGATCCTACTTATAAGTATTTTGAGCAGTGAAAAATATGTGCAGTATCAATATAAAAACCCAGAAACTAAAATAATTTTATATTTAAAGTTCAAGATATTATTTAGAAGTGTAACTATTATTATTCTTTAATTTTTTATTTTTTTATTTTCTTTTTCCTTTTTTATATATATATAATGGAGTTAAAGTATTTCACAATTTGTTTATTGAGTGTAATTATATTTGTTTAAGGTTTATTTGGGTTTAAAACTTTTTTTCTTTTAAGTTCTAGTTAAGCCTGTATTCAGCTCTGGGAAGAATGGGGGAGGGTTTTGGGGTGGGGTGGGAGGGATCGAGGAAGGGGTTTTTATTGTAAAATCTTAAAAAAAATTAATTAAAAAAAAATACAGGGAAAAAAAACAAATAACCAAGCTACCGCATAACAATTCCATAATTGTTTACAGTTTCATTTTATGGAAATCTGAAAAAAGGCACTTCCAATAGAAAACACAAGAAATCTAATTCTGTATATTTTAGTATAAGATGCAATTGACCGTTTTGCTGAATTCCTGTATTTCTATGAGCAGAGTATTTCTAACAAAAAAAGGCAATTTCCTAAATTATAGAATATACTTTGTAGCCTAAACAGCTATTTTGGGGAAAAAATATAATATCTTGGAGTCCTAGTGGACCTTGGATAAGTGATCTAGAGTCTTTGTGGACAATCGCTTAAATATGAGCCAACAGTGTGTGGCAGCCAAGAAAAGCCAATACAATTCTAGGCTGTATTAATAGAGGGATAGAATCAAGATCACGTACAGTTCTACTACTGCTTTACAAAGCCTTAGTAAGATACACTTGGAATACTGCATTCAGTTCTGGTCACTACAATATAAAAAGATGTTGAGATTCTGTAAAGAATGCAGAGAAGAGCAGCAAGAATAATTAGGGGGCTGGAGGCTAAAACATACAAAGAACAGTTACAGGGATTGAGCATGGCTAGTCTAATGAAAAGAAGGATTAGGGGAGACATGATAACACTTTCCAATATTTGAGGGGCTCCTACAAAGATGAGGGAGTCAAACTATTTTCCAAAGCATCAAAAAGCAAGATAAGAAACAATGGATGGAAACTAACCAAGGAGAGAAGCAACCTAGAACTAAGAAGAAATTTCCTAATGGTGAGAGCAATCAACCAATGGAATAGTTTGCCTTCAGAAGATGTGGGTGTTCCATTACTGGAGGCTTTAAAAAAGAGACAGGAGAAGCATTTATCATAAATGGCTCAAGCAAGAGGTTGGATTAGAAGACCTCCAAAGTCCCTTCCAATTCTATTATTTATTCTATGTTCTATTCTGGAGTCCCCCAACCTTTTGGGCACCTAAGACCGGTTCCATGGAGAGAGGTTTTTCTGTAGATGGGAGGGGGCATGGTTTTGTGTGTTGCCTGCATCCTATGCATGGAGCTTTGCTTGTTTGTGCTGGCATGCCAGTTGCTGGCATGCCATGGCCCGGTACTCATCCATGGCCCAGGGGTTGGGGACCCCTGTTCTATTCTATCTATATATATATTAATATGAGTGTGAGCATATTATATTTCAATTTATCATGAACTGGAAGTGGAAAGTCATAGGCTCATCTCTCTGTCCCAATCCCAAAGATGGAAACCAAACCACAGTAACACTGAATATTTTTAGGAGGAATTTATTCAGTTTATGGAGTAGCTATTCGAGTCCCTGCCCTAGGTCCTGAAGCAGTGCTCAATAATGATCATTGAGGCTATTCCACTGCAGTTTGGGTAACATGAACCAGACTCACTGAAATAACACTATAATATCACACTGACTATTTCAATGATTCTTTGTAAAAATTTATCTTAGCTGGTGGGGATTAGCAGAGAAGCCTCTGTACTACTGTCCCTTCCATTTGTGTAGCAACCAAGGCACGTTTGTTTTTGCCATCTATTATGCTCTCAGAGCACAAAGTCGTTGGTTTTTCTCCCCTCTCCCTTTCCTGGAAAGACCTTTCATTTGTTTGCAAACAAAACATTTGCATAAAATCCTTGGCCTATGATTTGCCTGTGTTGTCATCACAACCATGTTTGCTAACATGAGAGGGAACAAATAGCAGGGAGAGAAGAAGTCAAGAGTTCATCAGCCAACTGACAGATTGGGGCGTGCCCACGGCTTTCACTATTGTTGATCAACAAAGTAACGTATAATAACATGA